AAAGAGAAGGGAGAGAAGTTTTGCAGATCGAGCTTTACTTTGGATGAAATGGAAGAGGAGACTTTGGTGCAGTGCTTCCTTTGAGCAGTGTCCTTCAATGATCCAGGTTTCAGAAGTGCTGAAGAGACATCTCTGGGTGATTGTTTTTTATGCCTAAGAAAATTGAGAACATTATATGCTTGCTTTGTGTAATAAGGTTATATGGAAATATTTCTATCATCCAGCAAACAATTTAGTAATCATCATCAACTATTTAATTCAACATTGCCTTTCTTACAACCTAGTATAGTATAAGTCCTTTTGCTGGTCACTAAGAAAGTAAGACTTCCTCCTGACCTTAATTAAAGCAAAGCAGCTTTTTAGATAGGTCTCAAAATAAAATAAAAAAGGGATTGGATATGTAACTCAGTGGTTACTCAAATATAAATTTAGTTTAAAATGATCTTGGGTTTACAATGCCTTTAGTACCTGATAGAAACAATTGCAAATAAAATGCTTCATCCTTCTAAGGCTCAAGAAGTTTGACAAATTTTGTTTTCAAAAATATGAACTATTTCAGCTCTTTGGGAGGCTGAGGCAGGAGAGTCACAAGTTTGAATCCCACCTGGGCAACTTAGTGAAAGCCTGTCTCAAAATAAAAAGGAGATGTGACTCAGTAATCCTCAGTGTGACACACACACACACACACACACACACACACACACACACACACACACATTAACCACACAAACAAGAGAACTAGGAAGCCAGGTGTGGTGGTGCACACCTGTATCCCAGTATTAGGGAGTCTGAAGCAGGAGGATCACTGCAAGTTCCAGCCTGGATTGCAAAGTATATTCAAGGCCAGCCTGAACTGCATAGTGAAATCCTGTCTCAAAAAAATAATAAATTAAAAAGAAAACAAATGACAAAAACTAGGTACCGTGTATGCCCATAAAATAGTACATATCTTTAGCTATATTAAAAATTAAATATATTACAAGTCAGAAACTCAAGGTTTGGTAGTACATATGTCCCAACTCTTCGGAAGCTGAGGCAGGAGGATCATGAGTTTGAGGCCAGCCTGAGCTACATAGCAAGTTTGAGACCAGCCTGGACTACATAGTAAGCCTCTGTCTCAAAAAAACAAAACAAAACAAAAAAAACCCAAACTGATAAAAGATTCCTTTATAAAATAAAAGACTTCTGCAAATAAAGGATTTCTATAAATCAACTAGAAAAACCCAAACCTACCAACAGAAAAATGGACAAATCTTATATGTACATCACAAAAATATGAAATCTAAATCACCAACAATAAATATATGGGAAAATGCTTAACTTTGTAAATAACCAGGGAATACAAAAAGTGTAACAAAACAGTACTATACATACAGCACTTAGATAAAATTCAAGTCTGACAATATCAAATAGTATACCAAATAGGAGCTCCCATACACTGTGTATATATAGTACAACTACTTTAAGGGAAAGCTTATCATCTATCAGAGTAAAATGAATAGAAACTTATGTCCTCTAAGGCATTTTCTACTACTATATTAGCAAAATGCCCTATGTCAATGTGCTATGTACTGAGAGATATGTATAAAACTGTTCTGTGCAGACATGATTATGTAGCCTCATAATGGAAACAATTCAAATGCCTACCAAAGGTGCCAGGTGTGATGGGCATGCCTGTTATTCCCACAACCAGGAGGCTGAGGCAGGAGTATTACCATGAGTTTGAGGTCAGCCTGCGCTCCATAGTGAATTCAAGATCAACCTGAACTGTGTAGTGAGACTCTGTCTCAAAAATCCTAATGAAAAAATCTCCTACCAATGGTAAAGTGGATAAATAATCGTGCTATGGCATATTAAACAGCAATGAAAATAAATAAGCTAGAACTTTACAACTACATAGATTGTGGCATTGTAAATCCAACACTAAGTGAATAAAGCACAACTCGAGCTATCCTGAGAGTGATTCTCTTCACATAAAGTTCAAAAGTGGAAAAATCTAAATTACATTGAACAGCATAGATGAACTGTAGAGAACCATGAAGGTGTAATAGCAGGCGGAAATTATAAGAATGGAAGTACATACCCTTACAAGGGACATGCAGGGGTTCCTGTGGTGCCAGCAATCTGGTGGCTCTTGAGTTGGGTGATGAAGACACAGATGTTTCTTTTATAATTACACATTATGTTATGCATTATGTTTCTGCACCTTTCTGTTTGTGACTTATTGAAGTACCAAGGTTATTATTATTATTTTGGGAAGGGACCAGGGATCGAACTCATGACCTCACTCTTGCTAGGCAGGCGCTTATACCACTAAGCTTAATCCCCGGCCCCCAAGGTTATTTTTATTCTTTTTAACAATCAAATTTTTTAAACAGATGATATCATGAATAGCTTTATGCCAACAGATTGGACAAAATAGACACAAATGGGCAAACTTCTGGAAAATTATCATTTTCCAAATGAATCCAAAAGAAATAAAATATCTAACTAATTCTATAGGGCTGGGAAGTAGTAGAACACTGGTTAGCGACCCAGTGAGCAGCGATTCCTGGGTTTGACCTCCAGTACTCCAAATCAATCTGAGAGATATCCAGGAAATTAAAAATTCCATTCAAAGCTGGCCAACCACTTGAACGAAACTAAAGATAGGCTTTCAGGTCTTGAAGACAGGATTGCAGCCAGTGATCAGGAAAGGAAAGGTCTCTTAAAAATAACAAGGAACCAGGAAATAACAATTCAACAGCCTTGCAAGATGATGGAAAGAAAAAAATATAAACTGATCGGTGTCAGTGAAAAAGCAGGGGTCCATATACCTATTTACAGAAGTAATAGCAGAAGACTTCTCAAGCATAGGAAAAGGACCTGACATGCAGATAAGTGAGGAACATGAATTCCAACTAGCCAAAACCAAAATAAATCTACACCCAGATCTATAATAATCAAGATCCAAGAAACTCAGCACAAAAACAGAATATTAAAAGCTGTGAGAGAAAAGAAACAGATCGCCTATAAATGAAAGCACATCAGAATCATGGCAGACTTCTCAACACAAACCATCAAATCAAGAAGAGTTTAGAATGAAGTATTTCAAGTCCTGAAAGAAAACAACTTCCAACCCAGATTGATACACCCTACAAGACTATCTTTCAAAATTAACTGAGAAATAAGATACTTCCATGACAAAGGACAGAATTCATGATCATCAAGCCAACCCTCCAAAGAGTACTGAAAGATAATCTAGATAGAGATAAAAATGTCCACACACACGGGCCCAGCAGGCATCTGAGCAGTGGCCTGACCCACCTGCCAGCAGCCTGCCCTCCTGTATACTCCCTTCAATCCCCTTCTTCAGGGCTGTCCCTTGCACTGTGCACTTTCACAGCGCAGGGAGGTCACAACCAGGACAGAAAGAGCAGGCTTAATAAACAGCTTGGTTGTCTCCACCTTTTCCAGTGCCTGCTGGATTTCTTGTGTCACAGGAGACTGTAATTCTCGATTCCCCAGACAACCAGCTGTCAGCTTGCCTGGAGATGTGGCTCCCTCCTGCAGCAAAACAGATGCAAAGAATTTTTAAAAAATCTTTGCCCCCCACCACACACTGCTGGCCTGGCCCATGACACCTGTGAGATCCGCTGACCCTCAATCCAGGCTTACAGCTGGCCAGGCCAGGCACCCCAGGCTGACACCACGTCTCCTCTACCTTCCCTTGCCTGGCCTGGTCCTACTGGGATTGTACTGCTGCCCTGCCCAGATCACTCCCCAAGGTGGCCCTGGGACCTCCTGCAGGATTAGGCTGTGCTGCTGTCCACTGACCAACATCCCCCCACTCCCACATACACTCCCACCTTGTCTTCTTACATTCTGATTTGGAGTAGACCGAAGGGTTGGTAGTGATAATCATCACGGAAGTCAAAAGAAGAAATCAACAGGCTGAATAGGATGTAGGTAGGATATCAGGTCACCCACTTTCCCAAGACTCGTGAAAACCTAGAGGAAGAGATGCAGGAGATTCAGGCATTTGAAAAATCAAAGCAAGCAGGGTGAAGTGGATGCATGGACTCTTATCATTTTTACAATTTCTCTTTTGTAGCTTCCTCCTGGAGCAAAACATGCAAAGTTTTTGGGGGGACATCTCCTCATTCCCCTGCCAAGTCACCCCGAGTCTGCACCTTCCATACGGCCCTGCCTGGGACCTAGACTTGGTGGTGTTCATCCCTACTGGAGACCACAAGTGAACAAGCTAGTATGCCCAGACATAAGCGCATTGTGTTGAGCAACTCGAGAAAAGCAACCTCCAGCTTTATAACACAGGATGGTGAGTGTCCTTCACGGGGGCTGGACAGAGAGGGAGAGCCCTGGGAGAAACTGCCGCTGACATCCCTTCCCCAAGTGTCCCTGGTTAGCTGTAGCAATCCTGAGGACTAAAAGCAGTCTGACACTCAGAGGTTGGTTAAAGATTTTAGACACAATTGACATGCTCCTCCGGAGGGAATGGCAGGCTTGCAGTTCTGCTGATGCGCCCCACTGGGCAGGTGTGGAGAAAAAAATGCTTGTGCTCTGTGAGTGGCATTCTCACCAGAGGCACTGGCATCCAGATGGCCAAAGCAGGAATAGAGAAGGATGCTTGGACTAACAAACTTTTGTAGTTGGTGCCTGACAGCACCTTAAAAAATGATCCACAGACTTGCGTGTGAGCCTCCTTCAAGGTTCTATATGCGTGTAGGACAGACCGACAAAATGCACCAGTGAGGCTCAAAAAGTGATCCTGCTGAGCTGGCAGAAAGTGATCCTGAGTTGCAGGCAGGCCTTTGTATCTGGGGCAGCAGCCCAATCATGGACATGTTATGAGAAAATTCTCAAGCCAAGCCAAAAGGAAGACTTTGCACCAAGGCAGCGTTTAATCTTTACTCCAATGGGCTGTTGTGGGATAATTCCACAAAGGCAACAGTGCTGACTATACAGAGAGCTTAGTTTGTATAGAATTTAGAAGTGGGAGGTACAAAGTAAGTGAGAAAACATTGCATAATTCATTACATGCATTGAATCACTTTAGGGGGCGGGGGGATATTGGGGATTGAATTCACGATCTTGCGCTTGCCAGGCAGGCAGGGTCTTTTACCTCTGAGTTTATATCTCTGAGCTACTCTGGCCCCATTGAGTCACACTGACAGGCAGGCTAATCTTAAACAGATTTGTTGAAATGAAGGAATTGTTTATCATAATATAGAAACACCTGGGAACAGGGGAGGAGGCCCTTACTGAGTGAGCATAATTAAAAATGTCCTTGAATTAGCCCACGGTGCCTTAGGGTATGGACAGTTACTCTGACTCATTTATCAGAGATGTGTAGCTGGACTTTGGATACTATCGAAATCAATTGAATTCAGCAGAAACAGCAGAACAGAAACTCGATCAGAGACCTCTAAATGATCAGGAAATACCTATAAGGTTGCTATTTTATAAATGTGTTCTTTTCTTCTGTAGTTACCACAATTTTGCTAGCATAACTATATAAGCAAATAAAATAATATCCAAGAAGTGCCAAGTGCCTTTCTGTTCTCCAGGAGGAAATTTAGAGGATTTGTAGATGAGTCGGTTGAATTTATGGCCATATTCTTTGCTAAGAAGTCTAAAATAAAAACTTTGGCATCATAAAAAAAAAAATAAAATAAATGTGTTCTTACCTTATAATTGTGCCCCAACAGACTCAGTTGATCCTTTGGTGAAACCTAAGTCTCCTGATCCATAGGAGACTGCTCCGAACCAGAATATGAGAGGCAAAATATAAGAGGACAATCTTGACAGCTCCAGGGCCCTACAGGCTCAGCTGGAGGCTGAAAAAGCTGGAGACCCAAGAGCCAGGAGGCTGGTTTGAGAGAGTGTGGAGCTGTGGAGGGGGCTTCAGGTGGAGCATGCCTCCCGCTGGCACAAGGCAGAGGCATAGCTACCTGGGCCCTAGCTGTAACCTCAGGCCATGGCCCTTGGAAGCTGGGAGGACCTTGTGCCCTGCCCCAGGCTGGGCAGCAGTGCACAGCAGGCTGGCAGAGGCTCCATGGACATAAAATACAGCCAAGACCGGGACAGCACGTCCCGGGAGGGTGCTGGGAGAGGAAAAACGGAGAGGAGAACAGCCTGGCCCAAAGGACACAGAGCATTAGGCCCTTGTGGCTTGGTGCCAGGAAGTTGCATGCAGCCCCAAGATTGCCACAAGGCGCTGATGCTGGGGTTAAGAGTTGAGGGCTGCACACCTTGTGATGAAACAGAGACGACCTCTAGTGGTGATGAACAAGCCACAGGGGCTCAGCGTTGCCACTGCTAAGTCAGTGCCTGGGATCAGGCCTTAAGAACTCCCAATTGTCTGAGGCTCCGGCCCTATCCTGATGTTTGTTTCCCCAGCTGCTGCATACATACCAGGCATGGATCTAATGACTGGTGCTGGCCTAGACCTTCCTTGGGGAAACCCTGCTTGCAAATTCCAGGGGTAAAAACCAGAATCTGAGGACATCCACACCACACACCAGTATCAACTGCCAGGAGGCCACGAAGAAATGGTCTTAAAAAAAATAGGGCTGGGGATTTAGTTCAGTGGCATAAACGCCTCCCTGGCAAGCCAGAGGTTGTGAGTTTGATCCTCAGTACCAAACAAACAAACAAACAAACAGACAGACAAAAGATCAGATCAGGGCCAGGGCTTTAGCTCAGCAGCATAAGCGCCTGAGCAAGTGTGAGGTCATGAGTTTGATCCCTGAAGAAAAAACGCTAGAAGATGAAATCAAAGGATCAGAGAATTAAAGTATTATGTGAGTTCACCAGCAAGATATACAGACTGTTTGTATTTGCATTGTTTTTAATGGAACTAGGGAGATTATCTATTTCAAAAATGTAAACAAGTTTGCCTCTATTTTTTTTTTTTTTTCCGGTGCTGGGGATTGAACTCATGACCTTGCACCTACCAGGCAGGCACCTAAGCCACTGAGCTAAATCCCCAGACCTGGCCTCTATTTTTTTTAACCTGACAAAGTGAGCAGTTTAAGTGAAACAAATAAATATCTCTCTAAAGTTAAAAAGAAATGTCTTCAAATGGAAGAAGCAGGGGTGGTATGTCCTGCAGAGAGCCCTTCAGCGTGGCCTGTGCAGCAGCTGGACAAGTAATGGTGAATAACTGGCAAATCTCCCCCTGACGCTGGCAGTCAGGACCAATGGATCTTCCAGATACTGCCACAAGGTTATTTGCATTAAAGCCTGACTTTGTGTCATGGCTTGGTGGCCCGGGACCTGGACACCGAGGCCAAGCCAGACTCTGTCACCATTTCAATGATGATATGTTAACCTCTGATTGCTCTGCAGATTTGACAGCTGCCATGCCCTGTCTGAAGGGAGCTTTGCTGGCCTGTGGTGGGCTGTGAATGAAGACAAGGTCCAGGGGATAGGCTTGTCTCTCACATTCTTGGGTGTTACCTGGGCAGGGAAGACACAAAGAATTCCCACTGCAATTACAGATGACCTAGAAGGGCATGATGTGGCTGACAGGCACAGCAGAAGCTACTTTTCAGGACTCAAAGAGGGCAGCTGCACAGGTGCCAGCCCTATGAATCAGTGACTCTACCTGCCATGTATCTTAGCAGTCATTGTCGATGATGTTGAGGTGCTGGGGCCTGTGACAAAAGTGGGGAAGCACCCTGTTGCTGTAACACAAGTAAACAGCAGAGACTGTCAGGCTTGTATAAAGGCAAAATGGCATGGAATTTACTGTGCCCGGGTTCAGGCAGAAAGCACAGTAAGACCTTCTGCCCCAAATAAAGAGAAGTGTGTCCCTTTTACAGGGATAGAGAGAAGGCAGGGGATAGGTGGGAAGATCCCAATGAACATCTGAGGTTGAAGTTTTTTGGCAATTTTGCATCTCAGTGGGCAGAGTCTTTTGCAGTGTCCATTGTAAATTTTTGGGTGTCTCCAGATGTCTCCAGGATCTGCAAAATTTTTTGTCCTATCTTATCTCCTTTCCTGTGTTTTGGGTGCCGAGCTGGGTTCCCTCTTGAAGGTTGAATTCCCTGAAGACATCGGTGCTTCTGCTGGCAAGCAGATTGGGTGCTGGGAGAGTCAGGGCAGGTTGGAGACTTACAGTTGGGTTTTGGTCACAGTTGTGGAAAGGAAACTGAGCGCTGGTATTTGCTGATTGAGAAGCAGTTAGCAGCAGTACATGCCACTCTACATGCCTGTTAGGAATCATGGGACAGATAAAGGGCTGGGTACAAACATGGATGTCCTATTCCAGGAATGGGGTGATGCGGGCTCTCACGTTTACTCACTGGGTGATGTATCTCCAACAGCAGGCCTCTTTTTCAGCCAGCTCATTGGCAGCTGAACTGGCAACAGTTTTAGGACCCCTGGTTTACTCAGCTCAAGAATCCACTCAGGAGGACAGACTACAGGATGTGACTCCTACTTGCTATGTGGAAGGGAAAGAGGGACCATTGGCTCATGCCCTTTATACTCATGGGTCTAGCTGTGACACAATACCATAATGGACAATAGTTACTGTCCAATGCACTGTGAAAATGCTCTGATTTGGAACCGAAATAGGCAGGTCAAGCCAATGGGCAGAGTTGCAGGCAGCCTGATTGCTCGTGATGCATGAAAAAGAATCCTTACATGTGTGCACAGAGAGTTGGACTGTGTTTAGGGGACCGATGCTGTGGCTGTCAGCTTGGGCAGCAACATGTGACTGTCCCTTGTGGGGTGCAGACCTATGGTGAGACATATGGGAGTGTGGCCAAGAAACTGACTATGTGGTGTATTATTTTCTCTCACCAGGAAATGACTTAGCAGATGCCTTCACCAGGAATTACAGTGGTTGACTGCTAGGAATAGCATCTGACCAAGAAAATTGACTGTTATAGGGATTGACTGCTAGCAACAGTGTCTGACCAGGGGCTGGGACCCTAGACCTACTTTCTTTTTTTTCGTCTTTTTCCTTTTTATCGGTACCGGGGATTGAACTCACGACTGCCTGCTTACAAGGCAGGCGCTTATGCCGCCGAGCTAAATCCCTAGCCACTAGACCTACCTTCTAGTGAAGCCCTTGCTCAACATATGGCCAGGCCTTAAATGTTACCCATCAGGCTTTGATGTTGCTCATGGATAAAACTTCTCAGATGAGAAAGGTAGTTTTACAAAACCAGACAGCTCTTGATTTGCCAATTGCCTTACAAGGGGGTATTTGTGCCCTCTTAATATAGAATGTTACCTTTATATACCCCTGACCTTTGAGGGGTAAGATGTGAGATACTTCTTCAAAGGGCTTCCAAGCTGGAGGTGGGGCTTGAGAATGCTTCTGGACATTGTTGTTAGGACATGACCCCATTGTGTAGCGCAGGCACACAGTTATATAAGCATGACTTAGCACAAACAAACATGCATGCACTGGTATACCACTATATAAGAATGTAAATACATGATAACAACCTGCGTAAGAGTTAGCCAATAGATACTGGCTCAACTGCCTGCTAGTGCTGTGTTGCTGTCTGCCTCTGTGTGTTTTCTCTGAGAACCTCACACATGAATTTAGTCTTTCAGCCTTCTTCACCCTGACAGGTACCCATGCACAAACCCAGGCATCTCTGAACTGTTTGGACTCTTCAGAGACCTATGGATTCCATTTCCATGTTGCAGGCCCAGGTGCCTGCCTGCCCAACCTCAGCAGTCTGCAGGGACCAGAACATTGGGTCACCTGCCTTGTTACCCAGGATGGAAGAGAGGGCCCAGATGAAGCCTGAGGACTCTGTAGAGGTGCAAGAAGAGTGAAGAGGAAATAGAGGAGGCAAGTGAAAAGGAGGTGGTAAAAAAAACACAGAGTAGAAGAGGAAGGAAGAGGAGGTAAAGAAAATTTTAAAATAAAGATAATTAAAGAAAGCAGGGTGATGGATGTACATGGAGTCTATGATTTTTGTAATTTTCCCCTCACTTTTGTTGTAGCTATTTGTACATCTCTTTTTTTTTCTCTCCATAAATTTGTGAGGGCAGAGACTTTTGGCACACTGTGCATCCTCTGGCATCTAGAAAAGTGCCTGGCATGAGGCTGGTACAGTTGTCTGTACCTTGTACAAGCTAATCCTTCTACTTCTGCAATTTCCTATTGTCTTACTTTCCTCATAGCTGACACAAAATACCTGACACCCAGAGTTAAAGGAGAAAGATTTATTTAAGTATTAACTTTATTTCTAGAGTCTAAAATTGGCTGGCTCCAAGCCCGGGTGGTACAGTAGACAGGCATCTGAGAGGAGAAACAGTTGTGGCAGGTAGAAGACAGCAAAAGCAAGCAATCAAGGGACCTTATCAGTGTTCCCCGGGCCCTTTTATCTTATCCAGGCTACCCGGGATGTGTAGCACTCACACTCTTAATCCTAGTACCCTTGCACCATGCATTGCACCATGAATCAATTCCAGTATCACGCACTCCAGATCCAGCCACCTCTGAAAAAGCTCCACCATTCACCACATGAAACTTCGGGGGGACATCTAAACATAAACCCTAACACCTATTAACTCTTTATGTTGAAATTTTCTTGTTCACATTAATGTGTGGCTTGTCTTCTGATTGGTCCCTGAGTTATAAGAAATTTCGGTGGAGTAGAATAAGTAGAGAAGTAAAATAAACATTATTTAGGGTATTTAGGTTCAAATACAAAAATCATTATTTAGGGTAATGGGATCAAATATCCAAAAGACAAAAAGAACATTTTAAGATTCACTGACTCTGGTCTTCCCATGAAGCAGGCTCTGCCATCTGGATCCGGAAGAGATTCAGCCAGAAGAGAAATCACGTCTTGCCATAAGCCAGCTGGTGCACGGGCTGAAAACCTAGAACACACACCTGCTCATTCAGAGCACTCAAACTGAGGTAAAGAAATAGGGGTTTTTTTTTGTGTGTGTGTCTTTTTTTGAGACAGGGTCTTGAGCTCACTTTGTAGCCCAGGCTGGTCTCGAATTTGCAATGATCCTCCTGCCTCAGCCTCCCGAGTGCGGGGATTATAGGCGTGAGCCACCACTCCTCACTCTTGAAAGGAACAGTTTGATGCTTGTACTGTTTGGTTGGCTCTGCAGGCCTGGTGCTGCATCTAGGGTATCCATCTGGATGATGGCAGTGTACATGTGTGGGGGATTTCCTCCTGTCTTGCTTTTAAAATCCAATGGTTTGTTCCCTTTTGCTGTTTTATTTCTGTGGCTGGTAACCTGAACAGCTATTGTGATAATAACAACGTGCAGTATTGTTCTCACTGCTTTGTTTTATTCCAATTTATTGTTTTATTCAATGTTATGTTTTGTTTTTTTTATTTTTTATTTTTGCTATATCTGATGATATGGGAAACTATTGTGAAGATAATAAGATATACTGTAGTAGTCATTGTTGATTTCTTATTGTCCTGTTTTGAAGTTCTGTACCACTTTTACTCCTTTTTTGTTTTTGTTTTTGTTTTGTTTTGTTTTGTTGGTACCATGGATTGAACTCATGACCTTGCGCTTGCCAGGTATGCACTTATGTCGCTGAGCTAAATCCCTGGCTACTCCTTTGTTTTGATTGGCTGTACTCTGTTTTGCTTTGTTGGGTTTTATTCTCTTTAAAGTTAAAAAAATTTTTAAAAATTTGCTGATTCTCCTAGGAACCAAGCAGCATAGAAGCAAGTCTTTGCTTATATGTGATAGAGGTTATCGACCATGCTTCCTTAATGCTTATTAGCTATTGGTCATCACTACAACGCGGTGTTTTGTGTATGTGAGCCTTAGTATGGAAACTAGAGCTCCTGTATGTGTTTTCTATCTACATGCTTTGCTTTTTTTCAAACAAATTCTATTTTAGTTCACAAGAGGTTGGCAGCAAGTTGATAGGCTCTATGCCAAGGCAGGTGGGACAAATTTCCAGTAAGATACCTCTGAAGGTGCTTTCCTTTGTTCTTAAAAGACTGCTAATGATTTCTACTTCTGTCTGAAAAAATATTTTAAAAAAAAAGAACTAAGGCCAGGCATGGTGGTGCATGTCTGTAATCATACTTGGGAGGCAGAGGCAGGAAGATTGCTTTGAGGTCAGCCTGGGCTACGTAGTGAGTTTAAGGCCAGTCTGAACTACATAGTGAAACCATGTCTCAAAATAAATAAGCAACAAGAGCTAAGAGAGGTAGGTACCCCTCAGGCAGTGCTCCCACGCAGCTCTCCCTCTCCCTACCTTTTCTTTCTGGCTGTTGGAAGCTTTGAAGTTCAGTACAGTATCAAGCAGCTTGTTCCCTGACTGCTGTTGAGACTCTTCAGCTGGGTATTCTGGGTATGATCTGAGAGCCTCAACCATCTCCAGAAACTCTACGCACCCTGCCACACAGGACTCTCAGGAGACAGCAATAATTTTAAAGTTCCTTTTATTTGAGGATCACGAAAATCCTATATCCTGGGAATCAAGTATCCAAGCTCCCAGATCCACGAGGACTCAGAGGCCCATATAAAGCCCTCAAAAGCATGCAGAAAGATCTTCCGTGCTTATGAACGAATCAAAATTTGCGTCCTTCCTTACCCCATCACCATTATTACCTATACTTGTATTTGAGGCAATTCTACTCTCTATCCCCATGGGTAGCCCATTTCCTCTCCCTCCTGGATCCAGATCTTGTTTTCTCCATGATGCTTCTTCTCTCTCCTGCATTACTCATTGGGCTCCCTTCGTGCAGCTCATGAATGTGCTCCAGTGCCCGCCATGATGTGGGGGGAAAAAGTCTCCCTTGATTTTCAGTCTTCTCTAACAAATACATTGACTTCCTGGCCAAGCGTGTAAGGAAAATCAACAATGCTTGCTCCCCACACTGCTTACTTCAGCTCATCACAATCAACATTCTCACTACTTCACTGCTGGAAATGTTCTGGCGATGGTTACAAGTTGTCTCTTAAGTAACTCAGGTAGGCTTGTTGGGTATCTTTCAAGACTATCTATGTAGATGTACTACTATTGCAAAAAAAAAAAAAAAAGTCTCTCAATCTCTAGCCCTGGCTTTTGACTTCTGATGTCAGTCTTCAATTTCTTTCCTTCCTCCACACTTCTGTCTCATTAATTTCCTTGAATGTCTTTTGCTGGTTCCTTCTCCTCCTTTGGCACGCCCCCCCCCCCCAAGGATCTACTCTTTCTAGTCCATGTGCTCTTCCACATTCTCATACTAACAAGTGACCCCAGAGCAGCCAGGCCGCTTCTTAAACACCTCCTGAAGAACTCATCGGTACCTCATTTTCTGACTCATTCTTCCTTCCCCCACAACTTCAGGTCCCAAAGAGGAGCACACTAAGGTGTTCATCCGGTGCATTCATACAGAAAAAGGTCTCAGAAAGACGGGATATGCAAGAGAACAGAGAAAAGTCGCTACGAATTTAAGAACAAATGGCATTAGTGAAGGCAACTGAGAACTGAGAATGTAGGTTTGGATGTAAAAAAAAAAATAACAGGTGTTCTTTGAAGGAAGAAAATCAGCATTTATCAGTACTTATAGATGCCAAGAAACGGTAAGCATGTGGCAGTTTCAAAAGCTTGGTTTACACTCCTAGTCACCATTTGAGAGGGGGAGTATCATTTTGTTTTATGGAAGAAGAAATACGTATCAGACAAGGCTAATTTGCACAACGTCACAAAGATAGTGAGTGCCTAGATCAAGATTCAGACTCTAAAGTCAATGTTCCTAAGGCACAAGAGAAATAAAACCAAGATCCTGGAGAGAAAAGAAATGCCAAGGAGGGGAGGAGGAAAAGTGAAAAGTCTACTTAGCTTCTAAAAATGAACAGAAAGGAAAAAGGAAAGAATGTCACAAAATAAATCAAAAAGCTTAGAGAATATCACCCTATTCTCAATCTTTGGGAGCTATAAAATTCAGTCATCATCCAGCTCAATAGTGTTTCTTTCCAACAGTTTTCTTATTTCTGGTCTTATTTAGTTTTGTGTGACTAGAAGAGAAATGGAAATTCTTTGTGCCTCTGTCTTTGGACCGACTTCCTTCTATGGTGAAAGAAGAGGGAATTCTGTGTAACCCAACCCAAGGCCATGGGCATTCGGCACTCACAACATCTGCCTCCCGGGAGTGTGGACACGTTTTCCTGAGGCTTAGTTGTATCTTCATGGAAACTGGGGTGAGAGATGAAGTAAGGATTCCAGAAAAATCATTTATTTCATTGTTCTTTTCAACACAAGAGAATATTTCCTATCAACCAAGAGAATAATTTCTTCTTTTTTACCTTCACCTTGGAAGTAGATTATGAAAATTAACACAAACAACAGTCCTGCGTGAATTGGGAATAGCTGACAAATACACGTGAGCTGAGTGTGCATATGTGTGTATGTGGGTTGAAGCTGGACTGATGGGTTTTGTCCCTAAATAAATATCAGCCTTCCCATAAGAGAATAAAAAACCAAGAACCTGTATATTCACTTTAAATATTATGGTGAGCAAAGCTTGAGTGATTTTGACCAATAATAAAATCACAATGTTAGTCCAAAAATTGTTAAAGGTTTACTCTTAAATTTAATTTCTGTTATTTACTCAATAAACACTTTTGCAGTCCAAGAGTAGTTCAAAGATATTTTAAAGCACACCAGGTTGACTCATACTGGACTATTGTTCTCCTTACCTAACACGTGCAATTTTTGGTGATACTCAGGGGAGAAGCAGTGATTGCTAAATCCTCCCAGTCCCAGCTCAGCTACCCCTGAGTTTCCTAAAATCCACATGTGTGCTAAGCCCTCAAAGGCACTTTCTCTTCAAGTTTGTGTTGGGAGGACAGGTTTCCTGTTCTTAGGGGAAAATCTTTGTCCCCAGGTCATCGTGAAATTCACAGAGAAGAGAGTCATCTATTTCCTTGAGTTTCTAACTTACTCTGATTTCCTGTCAGCCAAGAAAAAAAAAATCTCTCCATTTTTTGCTTCATTTTGTGATAAAGAAAATCCCATAAAAGTACATGAAAGAGGAAAACATGGTAAGAGTCATAGAAATTAGATCTTAACCTTATACTTCATTGTATCATCAGATAGGTCCCTGTTAGTCTGTTGAGGGAGCTGAAGAGCAAATAAGAGAGGAGCTGCCCAGGTGACAGTTTAACTGAACAGGACCTTGGCAGAGACAAGATTCCACAGCAACTTCCAGTCTCAGGAGGACACTGTGGGCTACCAGGGCTTCACATCTGACGCTCTCTTCTTCCAGGGGGATGCACGACTCTCCTGCAGTCACTCCCATTTTCTTATTCATGTTGCCTTTGACTATAGGTAACTCATCTTAGTGTTCCAGCTAAGCCAGGGACATAGGAAGCCACCAGTGAATACAGAAGGAAAGAATTGAGAGAGGAAAGAGGTAAAGAAAAGAACAAAGGAAGACTGGAGGGAAGGAGAGAAAAGCAACCAGAAAGAATATTCACAGGCACCAAGGGAACAAAAACTAAAATGTGTAACGGGACCAGTCTCAATAGACAGCTGAAAGACCTGGGAAATTGTGTAGAATTTCTGAGATTTGGTGGGCTCTGCTTTGTGAAGAAGTCTACAAAGGAGATTTCCTTTGTGCATAATATAAACTGGCCAAGCTGGGCGTGGTGGCTTGCCTGGAATCACCTGTAATCCCAGCACTTGGGAGGCTGAGGCGGGAGGATCTTTGTGAGTTCAAGACCAGTCTGGGCTACAAAATGAGCTCAAGGTCAGCCTGAACTGCATAGCGAGACCCCATCTCAAAAAAGAAAAAAATAAATAAACTGGCCCAGTGTGAGGTGGGAACGTAGAACCCTCTTTCCTCTTCTTTGCTTGCATGTAAGCCAAGACAAGAAGGTAACACAGAACCAGACAAAGAGGAACTCCCTAAAGACATGGCAAATGAACGTGAAAGTGATCTACAAAGCCCTTTCCAGCTCTGACATTATAGAACTTGGCCTTTTACTATCTCCTATCCCAGGAAAATTTCTCTGATCCCTGTGTCTGACCTGACAAAACAAACACTGCAGTTTGAAGGCTAGAGGAAAAATAGAAGAGAAAATTAACTTTGGACAGAACCTCATTGTTTCAGCCTGGTGGGGGGCTTGCTGTTATTGCTGGTCAAACTAATGTAGTATTTGCAAAAGATCATTGTGCTGATGAATGGTAATGGGTGCTGTGTTGCCTCCTGATTACCTAACTAATTGATGTGCTGGATCATCAAATGCTTTTCCACTTTCCCCATCATAAAGTGGCCCTACAAAGACAAGTACTAACTCCAATACTAGATACACATATCCACTACTCACCCTTTTCTCTTCTGTTCTCACTAACGAACGAATTCAGCCTGGCTGATCTAAGGATATATGGTACCAGAAGACTTTCTTGTGCTTGGGTACCTGTGATGGGAGAGTTTTGGAACGGATAATTAGTCAGTATGGAAGTTTTTTGGAATTTCCAAAAAACTGGAGAGACCAGGACAGATTTTTCAGGAGGACTTTAATGGTATACCATCCCAGCCACTAGAAATGCTCAAAATTAGGCTGGACCTTGAACTGAGGAGAGATCCCCTTTTGTATAATTTGTGATATCTAGCAAGTGGAGATACAGAAGTGAAATGAAGGAAATTAGTCATCCCCATAGCTAACCTTATCTCAGTTTTGAAACAAAACACATCTTGTACCTCTCAGGATGTTAGGACTCTGTGAAGCTTGTTTATAGCCCCATTTGTTAGTTTTACCAGTGTTGGTACCTAGTATTGCCCCTCTAAGGCAGGACAGTCCCATGACAGAACCGCCTATGTCTTCCTTTTCAGTGAGAAAAGCACAGGACCAAAGTAAAAAAGTGCAAGTGTACAGTTCTGAGGGAGGGTTGTGTGAGGAGTTACTCACCTGAGCTGGGGAGATTTTACAGAGGAAGAGAAAGGCTGTTTCTCTCTGAGTTCTGCCTTATTCTCCCCTTTGATGCTCTATTAAGTAGACTTCAATAGCATCATCCTCAACATTCCATTTTGTCTCACCAGGGCAGTTTTCCATCAGGCAAGGGTTGGTATCTAGCTAGGGTTATCAACTGGGCGGTGGTGTGTCTGTCCACTAGAGTTTCTATAGCTATTTCAATGTTTTTGACAAGTATTGGTAGGAGACAAGGAAGGATGAGACAGACTTCCAAGATTGCTAGGACTATCCCTATCAGAGTTTTGAGCTCTCTAAAAGTTGAGAGCCAGCCTTCCCACAAAGTATCTGAAGACCATCTTTGGCACTTTTGGATGGGGACATGAGCCAATTTTTGGATCCTGGCAGTGATGTCTCTTCAATTACCTTACTATTGTCATCAATTTTCAGATAACAACTGGATAGATTGAATTTCCCACATATTCCTCCCTCCTGGGCTAAGAGGTAGTCTAAGGCCAGTCTACTTTGGCAAACAGCCTTTTTCATTTTAAAGGTCTGTTGTGCCAGTAAATTTAAGGTCTTTGCAATATCATTGGTAATGAGCTCTAGTACCAGTTATAACCTGATGATGCATATAAATGGGAGAGTGATATTCCCCCATACTTTCCTGTATGTTTTGAAGGGATCTTAGTTCTGTTTAAAAGGCTACCTTTTCCTGTCTTTTTTTTTTTCCAGCATAAACTTCCAACCAGGCTTCATAAGATGTCAGGGGTTTGGGGGATTTTAGATCATAACAGACATAGAGTTGGTTATCTCCTAGGCTGAGGTGGTTACCTGATTGTGAGTGCAAATTCCCCTGTGCATTCCTACACACTCACAATAGGTCTGATATAGTAAGGTTCTTGTTCCAATGCTTCCTGATCACATGATGTAAATGTATCAGGAGCATTTCTCCAAGGATTTTCTCCTAGATGGAAGCAAAAAGTATAAAGGAAAAGAGACTTATGTGGTGTTGTAACCCCAAGATGATCATCAAGCTTCTGCCATACATAGACCAGTCAGCTTTCAGTGTGACTAGACCACAACTGTTGTCAGTGGCAATGGCTTGATCATATCACAGGATCAATCAGTTTGGTTGGTTGGATCCTGTTGGCTGGACCACTTGTCTTGGACTGACACTACATCAGGCTGTGATAGATCCAAGGCACAGCCCCTTAATAGCAGTGGGGTAGACAAGATAACAGTGTGGGGCCCATCCTATATAGGTCCTAGGGCAGTAGAATTCTACCTTTTGACCCAAACAGAGTTTCTGAATTGAGTGAATTGAGTCTGCTATACTTGCAGGCATATTCTCCAGCACTCAGCATGGATTTCTTGCATAGCAATTCCCAAAGCCTGCATCTGTCTCATTAGAATTGATTTCTCTAGTTTACAGAGATCACCCTTAATTTGACTTATGATTGAGACTGGCCAGCTGAACAAGATTTCCTAAGGGGACTACCCTATTTATTTGGTGGGAGTACACTGGACATGGAAGAAGGCAATAGGCCCGTCTCAAGTGTGTTTTTTGACAATACTTTTTCAGCAATACTTTGAGCATCCAGTTCATGTACTTTACTTTCTCAGAGCTTTCAGGCCAGTAGGCTCTATGTAATTTTCATTTTATTTTTAATATTGTATGAACTCATGAACTAAACTGTGAATGCTGGCCCATTGTCTGATCCCAAAGTTAGGAGCAGTCCAAACCTTGGGATGACATCTTTGAACAGCAGTTTTGTTACTTCCAGTGCTTTCTCTGTCCAAGTGGGGAAGACTTGTACCCCTCCTGAGAAGGTGCAGACTAGCACTAGCATACATCAGTAGCCTCCACTCAGGGTAATTCAGTGAAGTTCACAAGCAAGTTTTCACACGGAGTAGTATCACATGTTGGATACCCAGAGGACCTCACTGGCCCTTGTTTTGAGTTGTTCTGCACACAGACTAGGTGCTGTTCAAAAACAGCAGTGGGGTTGTGAGGCTGCCAAAACAGCCTCTTTTGCTTCGCTGCTTTTGGATTTCCTTTGGCCTCTATCAGATCGGTTCATTGATGTCCCCTGCAGTGTGTAACAGCCACTTTCCTTGGTGCCATATAGTATCGAGGAACTGTAAAATTTTTTCTTTGTATTTTATTTCCCCCCAGGAGTCAGGAGCCTCTCTCCCTGTACATAGCTCCAAGAACAAGTAGCATGGTAAAGATATATTTGGAATCACTATAGTAGTTAACTGTTTTGTCCTTAGCTGGAAACGGTGCCCTTGTCAGGGCTATTAGTTCAGCCCTCTGAGCAGAGGTTCTGGTAGGCAAAGGCTGGGCCTCTACCACAGAGTCCAGTGTCGCCACTGTATATCCTGCTCATTGGGCCCCTTCCAATTCAAAACTGCTCCCATCTGTGAAACACTCAACATCTGAATCTTGCAGAGGTTAGTGTGAGAGATCTCCATGGCTTAAGAATACCTCATCCACAATTTCCACAGTTATGGTTGGGTGGGGGGTGTGTTCCAGTTTGACTCAAAGCAAAGTGGCCAAGTTAACAGTGTTTACTATCTCTAGAGTTATGTGAGGATTTTCACATAAAGTCTTTTATACTGGGTCATCCTCAGGTTGGATAGCCAGTGGTGCCCACTCTGGTCCATTAAGGTTATAATTGAATGCGGTATCCAAAGTCAACTTGTCAGCTTCCTGCATCAGTAGGGCAGTGATGGCAAGTGCCTTGAGGCATAGTGATCTTCCTGGGGCTACAGAGTCCAACTGCTTCAGCAAGTATGCTACCAGCAATGCCAGGATCCACTGACCTGGATTGAGACTCCTATGGCCATTCTCTTTCATTCATGAACATATAGGAAGAAGGGTTAATTTATGTCTGACAGTCCTAAGGCTGGGGCCTGAGTCATGTACCCTTTGATCTGTTTATTCTCTCTTGATCAGATTCCTAGAGGAAGGTTCCTTTTCTCCCCTGCTTCATGGCTCCATAACGTGGTTAGGCCAATAATGAGACTGTGGGATCCAGATGCAACAAAATCCTGCTGCCCCCAGAAACTGTCTTACTTGGTATTGAATAGTTGGGATTGGGAGAGCACAGATAGCTTGCTTCCACTCTATGCCCAGCTGACGTTCGTCCTGTGTCCTTGTGAAGGTATCTGACCTCCTGTCAGAAAATGTGTGCTTTGTTCCTTGGATAACTTATATCTTTATCTCTGGAGTAAATGTAGGAGGTCTTTATTCCCTGATAATAGTCCTCTCAGGTTGGGACTGCCAAAAAGAAGTCATTTACATGTTGTAGCAAGGTACAGTTGTCCCCTGGTGTGATGAAAGCTTTGAGATCAGTAGCTAACACCTCTCCAGAGTGTAGAGGAGTTTTTTGAACCCTTGAGGAAGCCAAGTCCAGGGGAAGTGTTCATTTATGCTTGTGATGGGATCCTCCCATTGAAATGCAACCCAACCCAGCTGACCACCATGCCACCCCGCTCAGATTGGCTGCACAGACTATTGGCAGAGCCTCCTAAAGAGGAAACCTAAAGCCCCCAGATCTCTGCTTCTACAAGTTTCTGCCTCCTGCCCCAAGTGCAACAGGAAATGTTCTGTGTTTGTCTGTTAACCAAAAAATGTTCCTTAAACTTCTCCCCAGTACCTAAAACTTCCCCTAAAGCAAAATCTAACAACTTGTGTACCTTTTCAAACCTCAGAGGATAACAGCACCTGCTTAACTTTTGCCTCTGTAAAGTGCTTCTGCAAAATTCCACTTAGCTCCCTCTTTTGCCCTCCTCAATTAAATCAGAGATATAAAACTCCCGATCCCATTGCTCAGGGCCCAGAATTTGGACAACTTATCTCTTCTGGGTCAGAGAGGACTTAATAAAGAACTTGTTTTTCTCTACCTCATCCGGTGCCCACTCAGTATCTCATGCCACCTGAGATTTGCAATTCTTGATTCCCATAACACTCCCACTTCAGGTCTCATTACTGGCTGCAGATATCCGGCTCCCACACCTCCTCAACCCTCCCCAGCCTGGCCCTGTCCAAAACCACCCCACTGCCCCCACTGTGTCCATCCACCATGGTCCTGCAGGGCCTCCAACCCAACTAAAACAAGGGCTTTCCCAGGCTGCTTCCTTCCTGCTGACCAGGTCTCAGTCCAGGCTGGTATGCAAAGTGTTTTGGGGAAATCTCTCCTGCTGCCCCCAGTGTTAGAGTGGATTCCCTATAAGGAGAAGTAGAGAAGAAAGAAAAGGAGAGGGAGGAGGATGGAGTTAGAGAAAGAAGACAAAAGAAACGAAGATGGATATTTGACTTTAGAGTGAGACCACTGGCAAAAGTCCCACATAAATCTGCTGCACAATCAAAACTCTTGATACTCAATAAATTACATCAGGGGATGAAACGGGGACCAGGATCAGAAGGCTGAAATGGTCAATTACTGTTGTTGTTCTGATTTTTTAAAAAAGGCACCTGTCTAACTGAACAGTCCTGGAGA